GAGCCATACTTCTCTCACACCAGTCACAAAATTTCACAACAACAAAACGTTCTTCCATTCAAGTGCAGAAATATTCAACTAATTAAGTCATTACAATAATATAATAATAATAATAAGAATAAAACCAACGAGGCAATAACACAGTGGGCATGTGATAAGAATGTGTTCGTTCTGCGAAATCAGAAATGAACGATGTATGCAGTCGGACGGTGTAACAACGGACAAAGTCGATTTGCTAACTGCGTCCTCGTACTGTTTCACTTTAAGTGGCTGATAATGGAACATCGATGCGGGTGCAACACCCAATTTCGATGCTGACGACAATGCTGCTTGCTGCAGATAAATTCACTGAATGGCCGTGCACTAACTAAATAATGTGCAAAATGCACACTGAACGTGAGAATGAAAGAAGACGTACTTGTGACACACACGCGTGACGCACAATATGATTGTAAACTATTTTCCCATCAGTCGAACCAATACCGCAATTCTTGCAGTAATACATCAACATCAATTGATGTCTTCGCATCGCGTGATGATAGAGACGTTCATCCTGAAATGTATCTAACCTCATAAAACTACGGAATGCTTTCAGACAGAAATTCATTTTTGAAACATCATCATTTCGCAGTTTAAATTCTCATCAAACAAGCATCAAAACGTTAGAAACCACTCGCTAATCCAAGACCGAAAGACTTCCACATTATCAACTGTTGCATCTTGTTTACAAATTACGCCTATTTCTGCAGAACAAAACGATTTGGCTCATAAAAGGCAAGCAACGCCTTCCAATAACGAACGCGAAAAACGACAAATTAATAAACCCATAAACAAAACCGACTAAAATAATAAACTTACAATAAATACGCATCGCATAAAAAAATTCAAATCAGACACTACTTCAGGTGAACAAAACAATTTAGCACATAATCAACTGAACTAACCGAGCTGTATGTATCCGCACAACGGTAACACGCATACGTCAAACACTGTCCTGCGTTCGTGTGCTGCTGTAGATGTTGTTGTAATTGATCTTCATTAAAAGCTACCATTGAACAGTATGGACAGTTCTGTAACTGACCATGCGTTTGCATATGACGCCCATAAACCGTCTCCGATTCGTACGCTAGACAGCATAAACGACATATATAAACTGTTTCTTTGAGCGGTACACCAAGCACCTGAATTATACATTCACCAGTTAATACTGTACGCAGATGATAACACATCAATTTCAGGTAATCAATCAAACTCATCACAACAACAACAATCGACAAGAAGGCTTTGCAAAACGGAAAGTGGTACCGAACCCGTTAGTCAATAAAAATGCATAAGAGATACGAGATGAAGCGAACCTCTTCGATGGTATTGCCAGCATCGTATCGATGCGACGCCGAATGTGCTTCGAGTGCTACATGCGTTACGAATTTAGCTGTACAGTGTGGACATACAATTTTTGGCTCTCGCTTCTTGGCCTTCTCAATACCGAGTCTGAAGCATTCTCTGAGATCATCATCACATCGTTCAATAACTCTTAAAACACAACAGCAATAACGCCTTTTCCCACTCCTTCCTCGCTTGACTACTCAACCAAAAGATGTATCTAATAACCAACTACAAAGTTCACTAACCCTTTGCCAGCAGCCACCGCTTGCACTTCATCATCTCCCTCATCATGAATCTCTTCCAAATGCAACGATTCACTAGCTGTTATCGCATTCTCATCAACAACATCTGCATTCTGCACAACAACTCCATCATTTTGTTCTGAATCATCTGCATGACCAGTCTTTTCTCCAGTATCATGAGCCGTATTTGTATTTGTCTGTTTGTCCATAACCGCCTATAACAACAATAACCATTCATCAACGACTGAATAAAACTCATCTGAATGATACTAATTTGATTGTGTAATCATTAAACGCTACAAATCTGGGTATACTGCATACTTCAACAATTACCCTTGCTACATCCTTTTCAAATTTAGGTTTGGACTAATTTCTACATCCTTCAAACAATCACAACTCAAAAATTGTCGGTTCGGCTCACAGAGTTCATCCGTTGAAAACGTAATGTTAAAATTCTCAAAAATTCAAATGCCCACCTCATCATCTTCAATAATTTGAATGTCGTCGTCGTCATCATCACCATTATTATTATTATTGTTATTGTTATTATTATTACTATTATTATCATTACTGCAACTTCCTACAATTGTTGGAGCATTTTGTTGTATCGTACCGCCGGTTGCCAGTGCTTGTACAATCGTGTGATAAGATATTTGTTGATCAGACGATACCTTAACAAAACAAAAATACTTTCAACTAAATTTTGAAAAAACACTCATCCAAAAGAAGGAAACAATCGCACACTGGTTCATCATCACCAACGGTAATGAATGGTTCAGTGAATGACCCTTATGATGTGATGAAATACAAAAAGTTATCGGAATGAATTCAATTCACGAATAGATAGATTCACCTGTTGGCAATCATTTGGTGGTGGCATCTGAAGGATAAGGATCACATCACCGCTATTGCTCGGGTTGAGTTGTGACCTTCTCGCTTGTGTTGATTCGATCAGGTGCTGCATCGTTGTTTGCTGTCGTTCGTCGTTGAGTTGTGGTGGTGGAGTGGATCGTGGCGAGGTTGAGCTCGATGACGATGTTCGCTGACTTTCTTCATCTAAACTTGCTCTCATTCAATCCAAACGTTTCACATTTCAAGTTGAATGCATATGACTAACGATATACATATCATTTGTGCAGAAATACGATAATTTCCATGAAAGAGAATATCAAAAAATTTTTTTTACAAATTCATTTACAAAATAACATCACGTAAATGTTCATATGAACATCGAAATGAAACAATTAGGTAAAGAAAGAGACAATCAAAATTATTCATCAAAACATACCAAATTGTTCCGCCTCACCAGCAACTTCATTCACCAATCGCTCCACAACACCGTTAACTGCCTCTTTGTTTGTTTCTTAAACAAAACAAATTATGAGATCACCGAACTAACTAACTTATTACGGACACAAAATCGTTGCTAGACGAAAGTTGAAATTAACACTGACAGTATTTCAATTGATTATGATGAATAAATGCCCACATATCACAATCAATGAAATAGACAAACAAAAGATCTGTAATGGTATTATTAGCAACCATTTGAGATATTGATTCTGGGCAAAGTTGCATGAGAGCGTTCGCAAATGGGTGCTGTTTGTGAGTTATCGCTTTCCATGCGCACATTTGCCAGGAAGGTGTTCGGTACGGGCATTGACTGCGAAACGATTGACTGCGTTGCCGACATCGTTTCGGACAGCACTGAAACGACATCATATTAGTAGATATAACTTTGAAGCTGCATTTTC